GCACGGTTAGTTCTTGTACCACAAACTCTGTAAGGTTAGGGCATGGTTAGTTCTTGTACCACAATCTCTGTAAGGTGAGGACACATTTAGTTCTTGTACCACAAACTCTGTAAAGTGAGGAGGACACATTTAGTTCTTGTACCACAAACTTTTGTCAGATGATTATACAAAGTAAGAAAAATATGAAAAAACAAGCTAACTGTTAAAAAAAAACTACTGATGGAAGCACATGTTTGTGACAAAATTTCTCTCAATAATTTATGTAAAAGTAGCATGGTTTCTTATTAAGTAGTGAAAGAAAAGTTTGAGAACCATTTGCAACCATATTATCTCCCTTCATTCTTCCTCACTCAAATTTTAACAGTAGTATTTCAGTATTTTTTTTTTCTTTTGGTCACAAAAGACAACAAATGGGTTAATCATAGCATATAAAGTCTTGAGTTAATGTTTTTGAGTTTTACCTGTTTTGTAATAAAGTTTTCATAGACATCTGATTGAATACTTGAATAAAACAACTGCATTATAAATAGAACCTGTCAAGTGGTATAGGAACTAGCACTCATTTTACTATAGATGAGTATCCAGTCGGTCAGTATGTATGTTATAACTATAGCTTGGTGTAGTAGTAGATGTTTATGTATATATAAGATAAGCTGTATATTTATGTAAGGTTATTCACTCAGATCATTTTATATCATATACAATGTCTATATAAAACAATTGATTATTTTATTTTTTATTAAAAAAATGCATCTAAATACTTACCGTGGTGGTCCCTATTCAAAGAATTGACTCACTTTAGTATAAATGACCTTAAGCAAGAGGTATCATCACTTTCAACAAGAAAGTAAATGCAATTTATCATATTTTGAATAGTCTATATGACTCACTTAAAAATTCAAAATTCACATACTTAGAATAAAGGGCTATTTCACTTAACCACTATAGGCCACAATGTGTATCTTAAACATGTTTCTCTCAGTGATAAATTGAGAGGTCTTTAATTCTCAAATTATAAAAACTGCAGATGGAACTGTGTAGTCAATTCACATCAAATCTAAAACAAAACATGTTTATAACTGCTAGATGAAGATCTCCAAACTCTCCTTAATGTGGAAGTTCTATGTTGATGTAATAAAACCCCTCTTAGAAGCCTCCTGACTTGATCAGTGAAGTTACAGGATATGAATTGGGGATCATTTAAGGCCGAAAAGCCAGGAGGGCATACATGAACTAGGAAATTCCCTATACCTTAACATGCAAGTCTTTATTTGTTGATAGATTACAGCCTTTATCTAGATATATGTAACATGACATTATCAAAACCATTCTTGTTTACATAAATATGCAAGTATGTAGGCTTACAATTTCTAATTTTGATCAAAAAGATCGCGGTGTTTTGTTGGCTAATATTTGCCATATAATTCAAATTCTCAGAAATTTAAAACTCTGCTTCTTCACAATCATCCCACATGTATCATTTACTTGTGAATCTCAACTTTTCTTGTTATACCTCTCAATTATATTCTGTCTTTAATTCACCACATTGCATAGAAAACATATAGGTTTTAATTTGATGCCTTCAGTTGTACTTTCATATATTTATATTCAGATAATCAGGTTTTATTGATCTTAGAACATTGATATACATGTTTATTGGTCATGAATGGTATGATCAGCCACATCCGACAAGAGGAACAGTTTCTTTGAATGCCAACACAATTTATTTCACCATATAATAATGCACACAATCATAGCACATTGCACATAGCACAGATGTAAATTGATAAGTTAAAGGCACCCCATTTGTACCATGTACATGTATATGGAGAATCTAATATATTTCAAATTTTCCATAATTAAGATGTTTTGCTTTATGTACTTGTCATTGTGAACTTTATGCATATTTTGTATGATAAATATAGATAATGAGGTAGAATTCATTAATTCGGCATGGCTATACTGCATTCTGATAGGATTAAGTAAAGACCCCTATTATATGCTTTGCTTCCATCTCTTGTATGCACAAACTTAGTGGCTTAGTTGCACCTGGCTCAAGGAACAATTAGAATGATTTTGTATTGATTTTGAGAAGTTATTGGTTTGAAATGATTACTTGGATAGAGGGGAGATGATGTTAAAGATGCATTATGTAAGAGCTAAATTTGCCTGTTGCAGGTCTTTTTCTCTAGATTCAAATGTTATAAAAATATTGTTATTGTTATCTAGACATTTATTAACATGACAAGACATATCAACTTTCAAGGCCATTGAATGGCTTAGATTTTGAATGGATTAGAACTGCCTCACCATTTTATAATTTAATGGTAAAATGGATAATCAAGACTTTCTTTACTATCATAGCAATGGTACTGGAAAATTGAGACTGTTTATTATCATAGCAATGGTACTTGACAATTGAGACTATCTTGTGACAACTTCAAACACTTTTAACTTTGCTCAGAATGAAGTAATTTGACTGAAATTTTCAATATATTAATTTCCCATTATCTATTTCTGAATTATCATAGCAAGATTGACAACTCTTTATCTAAATCTTACATAATGCATCTTTAACAGATCTTCATCTTAACTGCTGTATTTTGATTAGACAAAACAATATCATCACTGATTTCGTGACCTTGTGCTTAGTGCAACAGTTTACCTAAAACACAAGCTTATTAGGTAAATCCTATCATTCCTTTTTCTTACTTATATCCATCTTTTACTTTTAATGCCTGTGTTTGTCCATTACATTTACATTCATTGTACTCTTAAAATTTATACATTAAGAGCAGTACTTAATGAGTCATAGTTTTTTGTGGATAATTATATAATTTATGTCATTTTGGAGTTTAAAATATTTGGAGTTAAAATACGATTAATTATAATAATAATGAACTAATCAAAGAAGGAAATTAGCAATTAACTATAAAAACTGCTTCAAGTTTTTGTTTGTTTTTGTTTTGTTATATTAATTATTAATGTCTGTTTTATGATATTGTAAAAGCCTAGCTTTGCTACCAAATAACGTTAAACGTTTTACAATGGGTGATATATATGAAGCATGCTGGAGTATCATTATGTTATATATTATGCTTAATTGATTCACAGAAAATGCCAATAAATCAGCCAGTGTGTATATTGATCCAGTATTTCTTGTTTTCTCTTTTTCTTGTGGGGGTGGAATGGATTGGTCGAATGCATGCTCTTTAGATCACAAGGTCTGTCACAGAGTTAAGTAGTGTGGTTTTTATCAATAGCTGGTACATGACAAGGCAAGGATTGGGGTTGCCTGCCTAACTTCACGAGTTTTTCCTAGGTCCTCCGGTTTTCTCCCACTGCTAGTCCCCCATGAGCAAGCAAATTATTAAAATAAAATTGTAGCATGTTAGTTCCAAAATGACAAGTTAGTGTCGAGTGAACATACATTGTCACCTTCATCTGACGTCTTCGTGACAACTCTTCTGTTTCAGTAACAAAAATAGATTTCCTTTTTGGCATCAATTTCCAAAAGGTACTTACAGTTCAACAATAGCAAAGATCTCTAGATAAAACCTGTGGATGTCGATATTGTCATTGAGGGGAGGGGGGGGGTAAAGGTGGTCAAATGTTTTACCACGTGCATGCTAGATCATAAGGTCTGTCATTGAGTTAAGTCTTGTGGTTTGGATTTCCCATTTGTATGTGGCAAGGATGAGGGTCGCCTTTCCACCCTCGTGGGTTTTCTCTGGGTCTTCCAGTTTCCTCCCACTGCTAAAAACCCCTATGCTCACACAAATTATTGAAATAAAATTGAACCATATGTCGATATTGGTCACAAAAATATGTGAGTGGACGTTAAAACACCTTCCTCTCATTCACTCTAATATTGTCACGATACAAATCAAATGCCAAAATCTGTACCAAACTTTCAAATAAAAAAAAATAGGTCATTTGGAAACAGTTTATACCAGTTGCATTACTCTTTAAAGCTGCGGTCACATCTTACAGTGACACAGTAAATGGACGTTCATTTGAACGTAGTTAATCATAGTGCCATTACGGTCAACTAGGTTAAAGCAAGGTGAAGTTGGTTCAATATTTTCAAAAGACCCTACTGTTTAAATGTAGTTAACCGTACTTAACAGTACTGTGACCGTACTGTACTTCAAGTGTAGTCCAACCCTAGTTGACTGTAGTTTTAAGCATAGTGCCATGTTACTACAGTCAAATGGGGTCAACTATGGACACAATAGGGTCTTGACATCTAAGATCACTTAAGAGATATTTTATTTTTGGGCTAACCACGGTTAAATAATGGGTTTCTTAAAGTTTAAACTATGGTTAACTTAAAGAGTGTTCTTTGCAATTTTCCTTTTAAAGACTAGAGAGAGAGAAATGGGGTTTAACGTCCACCCGACACAAACTAGGAGGAAACCGGAGAAAACCCTACTCCTTGTCACGTACCACCTGGGATTCAAAACCACGCTAGTCGAGTCAATGACAGACTTTATGATACAGCGCGCGCACGCTAACCATTCAGCCATCCACCCCCCCCCCCTTTTTAAAGACTAATAAAAGCAATTATTCAACATTGTTTGTAAAACTTTGTCAAGGTTTTATAAAACCATTGGTAACCTGCAAATCTTCACTGCACACGCATCTGACTTATACATAGGAGCTGTGGTGTTAGTCGAACATGGTTTCCCCTTTTGTCTGTGGTGAAGGACTAGAAAAGACGGTGCCTAGTCATTCGGATGGTATGGAAAAACTGAGGTCCTGCGTACACGTAAACAAAACCTTGGCCATCTGAATTCCATGAGAGTAGGCTGTAGCACAATGAATGGCCTATGACCATCTTCATAAGCCCAGTGGGTGCAAAAAAGTAGGATGTTAAACCCCATTTCATTTCATTTCATTTAATCCAGACACAAGGTGATTGTTAGTCCAATATTGGCATTTGTTTGAACTTCAAATAGTTGCTTGAGACTAAAATAAATGGTTCTGTGAGCCTTCCAAACTGAAGTAACAACTTTTATTAATCTTCTTTCAGCGGCATTTAGCAACTGATATAAGTAATAAACACAACGTTTTCAAGCAAATGATGATGAAAATAATATACAGAATGTTTATATGCAAAAAAACAAGTAACAACTAATTAATAATTAATCAAGAGGGAGCAGAAAAGTCAGATTGTTTTTTCCTTTAATATATTTACCCTCTAATTTACCAATTAAATTCACCGATTTCACTGTCTCATCTCTATATTGATGACGAATATCGTCTTTGAGTGGCATTTAGGAATTGACACACATGTTTATTCAGTTTTATTTACACAATTATCTATAAATACGTCTGTCTGCTCATCATCAAATCGTTTTGGAGTTTTATTATAACTGAGATTGTAGTGTATTAAGATTATTTTTAAAGAACTGTATTATATCCTTCCAGGAATCAACTTGAGCAGTGGAATGACCCGGATAACTTCCACCATTATTTAACATTACTCCTGAAAATAGAATAAAATCTTTTATCACCCAATAATACATTCTACAGACACAGTAAATATCGCTTGTGTGATAAATTTCATAATCTACCCTGATATGTCCTTAGGAACTACTTTTTTTTATTTTCAAAGAACAGTTCATTTTTTATTAAAAGTAACTTCTTTCTTATTAAAAAGGGAACTATTTTTATTTAATTGACTTCCATGGAAACACTGGGTCAATATAAAGGACTTTGCAATGGTTGAATTGCTGTCAAAAAATGATGTATCACTACGCCGTAATGTAATCAGGTTCAGTAAAAGTGAAATCTATAGCAAAGAATTATATTTATTTATTTGTGCATGTAAGAAAGGATTGAGTGATAAATAAAATCTCATACGAGTCTTTTTTGATATCAAAAAATATCAACACTCGTTTTTTTTTACATCAAAAAATATCAACACTCGTTTTTTTTTACTTTATCGACTTGTGTTGATATTTTTTGATATCAAAAAAGACTGGTAAGAGATTCTCTATTTATCCGTATCTTATAATTATCCTTTTCTATTAGATCTATGATGAAAGTAAAAACACAATATTTTCAATAAACATTAAACAAGTCAACTGGTTTCATTTTCTATAGCTAGCTATAAGAGTAAGATGTCCTGTCCAAGGAGAGTTAATAATTTTCCAAATTTTCTCTAAGATGATATGTACAATGACATATTTAGAAAGAATACAGGTTGAGACTATTGTTTGCCCAATCACGCCAGTTCATCAGTCTATGGTTGTCAAGGCTACACTAACATAATAGCTTTGATCTTAATGCTTAATAATAGATAAAAATGATCTATCCAACTCAAATAAGCCACAAACTGAAAAATTAAGGGGAAAAGACACATTAAATTCACACACCATGAGATTTGACTGAGGGTGGAGATTTTATGGTTATTCTAACTTTGATTTCCAACTATTTGCAAGGCCTGTACAACTACTGATCCTTTGCTTTCCATAGGTCAGTGCACATTTAGGCCAATGATTATTTTCCAGTAATTTTTCAACTCAAGTGCCCATTAAAATACACAGTCCTACGATTAATGGTGTGGGCTGTGTTTTGGTATGACAGTTAACAACTCGACAAATAATACTAAATGCATGGACCTCTAAAAATCCCACAGGAAATAAGGTAATCTTTCATTAAAATCAAAACCAAACCTTGAATCTAATGCTTACCTACAAAATGAGTGAATTATCATTACAAACTAAATCAAACATCCGATCTCATGCTTACTTCCAAAATTAGTGAATTATCATTACAAACTAAATCAAACATCCGATCTCATGCTTACTTCCAAAATTAGTGAATTATCATTACAAACTAAATCAAACATCCGATCTCATGCTTACTTCTAAAATTAGTGAATTATCATTACAAACAAAATCAAACATCCGATCTCATGCGTATCTCCAAAATAAGTGAACTATCATTACAAACTAAATCAAACATCCGATCTCATGCTTACTTCCAAAATAAGTGAACTATCATTACAAACTAAATCAAACATCTGATCTCATGCTTACTTCCAAAATTAGTGAATTATCATTACAAACTAAATCAAACATCCGATCTCATGCTTACTTCCAAAAAAAGTGAACTATCATTACAAACTAAACCATACCTGATATCTACCGGTAATACTTACCTCCTAAATGAGTGAAAGAGTTTTTACATAATGGTGTATAAGGTGGTTCTATAAGATGGCCAGCTCCAGGGTACTTCTTTATAATTATTTGATGTTTTTTATCATCTGGACAATGGGAATAGAATTCATCATGAGAGTCCGGGTTAATTTGATTATCATCCTCGCCAGCTATGATCAATATCTTGGCCTGACTTTTCCACACCTAAAATAGATGAAAACGGGTACTTTTAAATAAGACATTATAGCATTTGCACACAACAATGATCAGTACTTAGTTTAGGCTTATATTCAGCCATGGTTTAAAATTCACTTTCCAAAGAAAAAGAGAAAAATGCACAACTACGAATTTTCGTCGGGTTACATCTGATAACAAGTGGAATATTCCCAATACTTTAAATGGGCTGCTTAAAGGACAATGTTGGCGTTAGCCAACATTAATTATGTGATAGACCTGGTTAAACATATTCTATTAATATAATTTTAACTTGGAGATCTTGGCCACGGTTAATCTGTAACAATGATTTGAAGAATTGGAAAGTGACGCAAAAAAAAAGCAAAACACAAGTAATGCTTACTATTGAAGTAGACAACGATAACAGATACATGTTCAAATTTCAGCTCACTAATTATTCCATTGACGTTGAGAGTTGTTTTTATGATATATCTGTTCGAAAACGAACTATTCATAAAAATTAAAAATTGACTGTCACCAGATAAGAGAACGAAAGAAAAATAAAAAAAGTCTATGCATTCCGAACATTGTCCTTTAACTCGATGGTGCATTCCGAACATTGTCCTTTAATTTGATGGCAAAGGATTGTACCAGAATTACTATGGTAACGAAAAGTAACACACACAAGTACAGTGCTCTATAATGAAACACTATTTATTGTTTCAAAATAAAAAAAAAATACCATCATGTACTTAAAATATAGATATTCAATATAAAATATATGTTGGCTACGTACGGGTATAAAATTCTCTGGTTTATAATTATATGCATTTTTCAATACATAACTGTCTCCTACAACTTCTATTTGGCTGGTTTCAACACTACAAAATAGAAATCAATGATACAGCATTTACTTTAATATAAGCTAACAGTGAGGCTGATGTTCTCCTTCTTAAAGATGCATTAGGTAAGATTTGGATAAAGAGCTGGCTATCCTTGGCTGTAAAAGTTCAAAAATAGATAATGAAAAATAAATATATTGAAAATTTTATTCAAATTACTTTATTCTGAGTGAAGTTATGACTGTTTGTAGATGTAGCGTAGATTGTTTATTATTGTAGCAACGGTATTTGACAATCGAGTCAAAGTCTTGATTATCCATTTTATTGTTAAGTTTTTAATTCTCATGGTTGTTTTAATCCATTTAAATCTCAGTCATCTGATGGTCTGGCGCATTGATTGTAGACTGGTCATGTAAATAAATGTCTAAATAATAATATATATATCATTTGAAGCCAAAATGGAGACTTGCAATGGGCAGATTTAGCTCTTACATAAGGAATCTTTAATCCCCAAACAAATAGATGACACTTATTTACTTCACCATTATCAAGTCATTGGTTTAATGAAACTATACATCAAGTTCCATCACTCTCACAGACCCAATGAACATCTTCATCAAGTTTTATCATTATATATACTCAATAAGGAGAGGAGTTATGGTGTTCCAAAGTCTCGAGCTATGAAATTGCTAAAATATAGTCAAATTAAGAAAACAGAATCCAAAGATCAATTAGAGATTCAACTTTTACCAACACTTATACGTGGCACTGGCTTGTTTATGTATATTCTGTTTAGAGATTCAATTACATATCATAATATTATAGTTTGTAAGGGATTCAAATCTCTCACCGGACGTGAGAAATTGTATTTATTTAATGTCTGCTTTCTGTGAACTGACATCGCAGACAACATATATGCATGACTAAAATTGACCCAGTTTAATATTTTATTGGAATTAAATTAAAGAAGCATGGCTCCTTTCATATTTTAAACAATGATTGATTACCTAACTCCTTTAAAAAAAACATTTTCACCCTCCATTAAATCTGATAGAGAATAATACGGTGGACCATTGACATTCACTACACATTTAACCTGAAAGTAAAATATCTAGGTAGCTCAAATCCATTAAGATAAAAAATATTATTTCTAGATAGACACAAGTATTCATTTTTTTATTTTTAAGATATTTTTCACTAATATTATTTCTAGACACATTTTTATCTCCCACATATATGTAGTTATTATTTATCAGATATTTAAGAATTCCCGTGCAACAGAAGTACAACAAACTTAGGTAGAAGTTATAGATTGTTTAACCAGCGTCATAACCTTTGGGGTATCAATACCCTTTATAAAATGGTTGAATTCTAGTTGAAATTCGAAAAAAGAATAGGCTGTAGTGCTGCTGTCTGGGCAAAATACTCTTCATAGCACGCTGTCTTAACTAGCCCGGTTGGTGCAGAGCAGTAGGATGTTAAACCTCATTTTATTTTGTTTCATTTCATGGGAGTTGTCATTATCAGACTTACTTGTGGTAAATATGTAGCCATTAACATAGCAAGTTCTCCTCCTTTAGATATACCTATAACACCAATACCACCAGGTTTAACATTAGTATGACGACTGAACAATTCAACTGCTTCCTTTAATAATAATATTAATATGACTAAACCATTCAACCACATATAATAACATGTTTATCTTAAAGACAGTCCAATGAGACAAAGTTTGTGTTATCAAAAACAACTTCATTTAACACCCAAATAACCTCACTAGAAGGGATAATGGTCTTGTTTTGGAAATAGCAGAAGAATTTAAAATCATAATCACTATTGGAGTATTTCTAAAAGAGTAGGTCTTTCACAAATGCTTGTTTTCAATAATCATTTATGTGATTTTTGTTATTAGGGTATTAAATTGACTGAGACCTTTAACAAGTAACCGATGATTCTGGACAGCATCTTGTTTCATAACTTTTCAATGATAATAAGTTTTAAATAAAAATGTTTAAATAACAGAATAAAAAGAAACAATAATGTTACCTTAAAGTAGCTAAAATTGATATCTTTAAGATCTTTAGGTAGATCAGAGTAGTTAAAATAAGGTAAACATAGTGTAGTAAAACCTCTACTAGCTAATAAAGCTGCCCTGTTTTCTTTAATACGTCCACTAGAACCAAACATGTCTATAATACCAGGCTTTCTACTATTATCTGAAATTATTGAAACATTTAAATTATGAATTCCTATTCCCATTACCATTGGCAATCTCTAGTCAGGCATTTTTGCTCATTCACATCAAGTTATCCATATTAGTAATGAACAGACTGAGAAAAATACTTTTTATTTTTCAAATGTAAAGGGCCTAGCAAGGAACAGGGTCTAGTCATTCAGATGGTACAAAAAAAAAACAAGGTCCTATGTACACATTGGTGTGCATGTGAAAGAAACCATCATGACAGTTGGAATTCAATTGCTGTCCATGAAAAATATCCATCATAGCACACTAATTGACATAGCCAAATCACATCTTCAACAGCCGAAAAGTATTGCCGAAAAGTTGGATGTTAAATCCCATTTCATTTATTCATACCTGAAGGTAAGAACATGGTGCCTCTAATCCGCCCTTCATTAATTTCTAATCTTTGATAATCTTTCTTCATATACCATCTATTAATAGTGTTTGTTATAAGAGGTTTTAATTTATCAGTAGAAAGTTCATCCAGGGACGTTTGTCCATCTAATACACTGATTTCAACTCGATGAGGTGATGTAACATCTTTTGCTGCCAGTCTTAGGTTTGGCTTACTTCCTGGTGCTGAAACCATACTGGCAAGGAAACCCATAGGATCAATTCCTGGAAATGGAAATAACATAACTTAGTTTTCATCCCATCCAAATGACTAGACAGCTGTCCTTGTCAGGCCCTCCTACCTGCACCACTGACATGGGGAAACCACGTTGGAAAATCCTGATGAACTTTCTCGGACAACACTGGGAGCGAACTCGCAACTTTCAGACTAGCGAGCCAGCATCTTACCCACTTACTCACCATGGCTTCCTAATGACAACAAAAATATAGTTTTGATTAAAAACCTGTAAATGGTTGGGTAAGCTGTCCTGTGATATTCATATAGGCATCTGAGCATGTTGACAATTTTTTAAAGTTACGATACTAACAAAATGAGCTATATGATTTTGCCCGGGCAGCGTCGGTCCATTGCCAATTATCACAAAGTGCTTCTTCCTGTACCAGAGACAGAGCACATATATTCTTAATCAAACATTCCTTTAATTTTAGTAGACAATTCCTAAATTTGATATTTGATATTAGCATATATTTATACTGAATAATTATATTTTTGATCGAACGTATGGCGGGATATATTTTGCCAGAATGTTAATCTGAATAACATGTTTTTATTTGCATACCTGAATACGTTCCACCAGAAGATGGCGTATTTTCAACATCTATACAACCATTAACATCCGCTGTATAATAACCATGTGATATAAATACTTCATCTTCTTTACTTTTTATCCTACTCCTTAATGTTATTCTCTGATTTTTATCTAAACCAGAAATCTTAAGACTGACAGGTTCATCAATCAGCCCATCTTTAGGTGTTACGTTTAGTGCTGTGGTACAGAAATACTGTTGTACAGCAAGATTCTTGGCCATTTTTGATCTGAATACTGTGAATAAAACAAGCTACAAGCTATAGAAGGTTAATATATAGGCTATTATCTGAATGTAGGTCAAATTTAATGAAACTAAAGAACTAACAATAGAGGCCTACAAAAGATAAACTTGATCCCAAGTATCAGTATGAATAAATAATAATAATAATAACTATATTTTTTAAGGGTTAAAAAGTAGGACAGGTGGCTTGTCTTACATAAAGATTATCAGCATTACTAAATAATAATAATAATAATAAAGAGAACTACATATAGAAAGAGGTTTTCAATACAATATGAAGAAACCTGTTTACAAAAGAATGTTAACCAAAAAAGAGTGTCAAGTTATTTTTGTCGTAGTTAACTTGGAAGAAAGTGTCTTGGTAATTGGAATCGGAGACGACTGGTATGTGTCTCTCTTTTGTGGACACTCTAGTCTAAATCTGGATAGTCACATTATTAAATGAAATGGGGGTTTATTATAACTGCCTACTTTTCTGCACTGAAACCTGAAAGAGCTAATGAAGACAGGCATATGCTATACAGTGTGCTATGAGGGAAATTTTGCCTGGACAGTAGTGCTATGCCTACTCATATTTCAAACTGTGCATGCCAGTGTGTACACAGGAGATCGGGGGTTTTCTTGTCCAATCTGAATGACTATAGACACTAACATGGGTAAACCATGCCGGCAAATCCAGAGAAACTTTACATAATCAAACAATTTGGTACTAACCCATTCCAATATGAATTTAACACCTTGGGACGCTATGTTGAATTATACTGTATTTATTATTAGTTGAACATGTTTAGTAGACATCTTTAATATGTCAGTTACTATGCAAAGTTTAACAGAACACAATTTTTGTGGGAAAAAATCACTAGTTTTATTCTATAAGCACGCTGTTTCCTTATAGTAGAATGATACTACCTAGGCCTACATGCGCATATATTAATTTGTTTTCTCGCTTCAATATAATATATTTGTTTCTGAGGGTGTAAACTCTGACAGGAACAAATCAACCTTCATAGGATTGCATTTGGTACGAATTGGTCGATAAATAATAAAAACTCGCTTTCCTAGATACGTTGTAGTACTAGAAACACGATCCGGTGAAAGTCTGACTTGCGCGAATCAACTTTTATAGGATTGCATTTGGTACGAGTTAGTCGTACCATAGACTCGCTTTCCTAGATACATTGTGGTACTAGAAACACGAGCAGGTTTTTTTATTCTACTAAACCGACAGTTTAAGCCAAGGCTGAATCTGGAAAAACGTTCGGTAGTATTTACCCCTGAAAATCATTCCGATATACTGGCAGACTCTGTTGCCATTAAGGTATAATAAACAAAAATCACCAAAGGTTGTCAGTGTTTCCTCGCGTTATTTACACATTACCTCCCCTGAAAGTGAACGACTTAGTACCATTTTTTTTCCTTACGACTATGTTGTTACGTACCTTCACGTCTACTTCATAATATTAATTGAATGTTTTGTAAGTCTAACCCAGACGTATTTATTTCAATTCCCATCTTACCACTGGGTTGGTTTATATCCCTCCAACTCCATGTTTACGATAATTACAAGTTTTGAAGATTGAAATATTTCCCAAATCACGCCAAGGCTTTTCTTAGTTCAGCTCTGAACGTAGCTAGGTCTCATTTCTTTGCATACTTAAAAGTGTCAAAATACCTTAATTTAGAGTTTGCAAGTTTCTATAAGTAACTTTTTTGCCAACAATATGGGTCCATTCAATATCCTGACCGAACTATTCTACCCATGGCAAAACAGTTTTATGTCCCTGGCAGTAGTGCACACTTCCCGGGGCATACCTATTGCACCACTCAGGAGTTCAGTAATCAGGGGCGGATCCAGGAATTTTTGCAGGAGGGGTTTTGCCAGGTTATCTCGCGCTTTGAGTGCCCATCCTGTCGCACCATCTGATGATAAAGGATAAAGCACAATTATGACACTTTTCTCACAAAAAAAGTTGTTTTACAAAAAATAAAATTATGTAGGTGAGCAGGGGGGGGGGGGGGGGTTGACCCCCCCCCCCCTCTGGATCCGCCCCTGGTGGGCTACAACCATTTGACCTAGTTAGTTGCCAGTTTCAAATTAATTACCATTCTACAAGAAATCAACGGCTGATGAAATGGGGGGGGGGGGGGTTGTAGAATATAAGGTCTATCATTGAGTCAAGTGGCATGGTTTCGATTCCCCGCTTGACAAGAGGTAGGGTTGCCTAGCTGTCCAACCTTATAATATGTTAGTCCCAAAATGACCTAGTTTGTGTTGACTGAACGTTAAACCCCATCTATGATTCTTGCTTGACGAAATATCTCAACAATTAAATGAAAGCCGGGTGAATAAAAATTTAACAATATTTTTAATCTCTTATATACAAATACATAACAAATAGCACTTAATGGGCAGATCGCTTGATTTTGAGTGTGAATCTTTGGTTATGTTACAAAAACTAGGGAGCCGCGGTGACTTAGTGAGTAAGACCGCGTTTAAGTCAAGGACAGTGTGAGTGATGGGACAAAAACCGAGGCCCCGTGTACACGTAGAAGACCCCTTTTCAGGGCAAATTTTCCCTCATTGTACATTGGTTGGCCTATTTCCGTCTTGATTAGCCCAGTTGGTGCAGAACAGAGGGACGTAAAACCAAATTACATTTCATTACATTGGCGCAGAATTGAGAAGAAGGATTTGGTGGCGGGATTATAAAACCTCACAATTCTAACGATTTCTTAAACCACATCTAGAAGGTTCTTGTCCCGGGAGTATAAATAAACACAGTAGCTGTGATTAAAATTTGAATGTCTCATTTTCATCTGACCCTTTCGGTCTCCAAATGGTATATCACCATAAACGTACATATTTAGTATTGTTAAAAAGATAAATGAACATTGAATGACTCGATGCTAATCACATATCCATAATATTATAGGTATTAAAATATGGGTTGTGGTAGGTATTTCAATTGATTGTTGGGAGATTGATTATTGCAGTGAAATACACAGGTCACAATTCTGGGGCCTGTTTCACGAAATTTTAACTAAGATAAAATCCAAATTTTAGAAATTTGATTGGATAATATTAGAATGATTGTAGTGCTTAGCCAATCAAAATTGAAGTATCTACTAAAATTTGGATTTTATCTTTAGTTACAATTTCGTGAAACAGGGCCCAGGGCAATAAACAGTAAAATTCCACGAGGCCCTTTTCACGAAAAACGTAAACTAAAACATTTTAAAGATGAAGCCTTTTCATTGGTTGAGATTTAAAATCCTAGTACACATTCTAGCTTTTGGCTAATGAAATGACTGAATTCTTAAAATAGTTTAATTTAAATATTTGTGATTGGTGACCCATCGATCCTCCTTATCCAGACCCTAATAATTAAGATGTATGCATTGGTATTTGTTTAGCACTAGGACAAGAACCGTGTAAAATAACAGGTGACGGTGTGCGTATCGATGGGAGCATTTTCATCTCCTCTAAAAACTCTTTCGTCACGTTGGTGTTCTGAAATAATAATAATACAATAGTCTTTCATTTATGATACTCCTAAATATACTGTTAAGATTCATTTATTTTTTTGACAGAACGAACGTTTATTTCATAGGCAAGATGGAATAATGGGCGTGTCCATTCCCTCAAAATACAGTTCAACGGGTATTAGCGCTTTGGTATTCTTTGTTTATTATTCAAAACGAAAAAAAGAAGAAAATCTTTGATTCAATTGATTTGAAAAGACAGTTAAATACATGTATTTACAAACAAATTTTTCAGCAATCGATGAGATTTTGACATCGTAGACACTTTTTAGTGGTTTTCAATCAGATTAAGGATCAACCCTAAAGCTAATTTTATAAAGTTATAGGTTAGTCCATGGATTTTCCATAATTAAGTCAGTCAACAGTTATTTTGAATATGATATGATATTTATTTTTTTGGTGGGAGGCATAATCCCCCTTTAAAATTGATATTCGAAATGAAAGAGTTGCAGACATCCATGGATATTAAACATGCATTATGCAAGAGGTAAATCTGCCTATAACATGTCTTTCTTTAGGCCTGAAATGTTATATAAACTATTAATTAGACATTAATTAACATGAAAAGACCATAATGAACTCTCGATGCCATCTTATCTGTCCGATTTTCATTGGATTTGAATCCGATCTGCTGTTCAACGTCCGTTGATGATTAAACGTAAAACTGGATAATCGAGACTTTGTTAATTATTGTGACAGACCTAACAATGACAATCGAGGCTACAAAGATTTTAAAATATGATTTCTCGGCTTATGAAGTGAAGTAATTTGACTGAAATTTTTAGCATATTCCCTTAACATCGTCTAGTTTTTAACTATTATAGTGAGAACTGTCAGCTCTTTATCTAATTTTCCAATAAAGTATCTTTAAATAGAATTTTGATTTTCTCGCTGGCAATCCCTTTAAATCCCGTTATGTCGAAACTGATATTCGAAATGGAAAGAGTTCCAGATATCAATAACCATGGTCCCAAACCTGAATTTCTTAGTAGGTGTAAAAAACAATGCAACTTATATGTAATGAAATTCTAATGATAAAAGTATTTCGGTTTTTTTATTTCATATAGTTTACCTTTGTTTGTATCCTGACCTAATAAAAATGTATTATTTTTTTCTAAGCAGGGTTATATACCCTAAATTTCAGAGTTACTCACTTTTAAATCTAATATTTCTAGAACACTATTTTCTGCCTTTAAGAAAAGTCTTAAAATATCCAGACACCCTTTACCAGTGATAAGATTCTCTCCAATCTGGAAAAGTCACAATAAACATGCACCCTTAAAGTTACAATTTCATATTTTCTAAGACAGTCAAAACATAATTATTTCTATGTCTTTTGCTGAATAGGTTGTTAACTCACTATTATACGATCATTGGTTATCTTTCTTACACTTAAAAATCTTCACACCGGAAATAATAACACAATCACCTCCCAATTACCTCCCTTGTTTTCCTATTCCCCAGCTATCTTTAAACGTTTGAATTTGAAGTTGAAAATGATATTTTTGCCAATTTCTCAACTGGCAATAGTGAATTATAGGATTAATTGGATTATTCTTTAACAAGGTAGGACTGTGTATAGATACCATCTATTTTAGGGCTTTATTTTAATACATTTTAAAAATATAACTTAAAAATGTGAAATTGTAACTTTAATGTTCGGTAAAGTGTACTGGGATATATTTTAATCAGTTGGCTCAGTATGGCGCATTGAGAGGAACTAGTTATAATCCAAGGACTTCGTGGTCCTACCGTGAAGAAGAAGGCAGTGCACCTATAGGAATGATACTGTCATTGATAGTCACATATTTAAGGCCCAAGCATCAATTTTTGTTGAGTTATAAATAATTATGCAGTGTAACGCATTACCATTCTGTATCAACCGGACTAATAATGACGGGTATACGCCATGGTGTGCTATGAGCGCGGCGCTATGGCCTGATTTCAAATTCAAACGCTTAAAGATTCTTTTACATATACGCCAACGTATAGCCTCGATTTTTGTCCCACCTAAACGACTAGACACTGTTTCTTGACAGGTAATCTGCACCACTGACATTATAAAGGATCGAAAATCCCAAGGACTTTTCTCGGCCAACGCAGGGATCCAGCATGGACCACCTGGTTGGTGACACCCCCACTCCATGGTTCCCTGTTGAGTTATAGAGGTTTGGTTTATATTATACTTTTGTTAATAAATTTGTCAAAGACGTCGGTCGGCGGATTGTCATGTTTACCAGTGATATAATCTTTAAACATTTTTAAAACTTACTCGAAGTATTTTTAATGTTTCATTGTTGGACAACTCTCGTATTACAGCAAGTACATAGACGTCTGTCAGACGATTATCAGTCAGATCTAACTCTCGTAAGGTTGAATTTACACCTAATGCCATGGCAACGGCAGTAGCGCCATGTTTTCCACATCCATTGTAAGCAATGTTGAAATATTTGAGACCAATATTTTCCTAGGAAAGAAAAGAATTAAAGATGCATTATGTAAGAATTAGATAAAGAGTTAGTTAATACATGTATATATAAAATTATGGGTGTTTAACCGTGTTTTCTTTTGCCATGGAAATGCTTACCTTTAAACCGAGACATAATTCTGCTGCACTTCTACCTCTTAATTTATTCCAACTTAAATCAAGATATTCCATGTTTTCATTCACAACTGCAAATGCAATAAAAAGATGAAGCAGCATATCTCTCTCTCTCTCTCCCTCTCTCTCTCTGAGGGAAATTTTGCCCTGACAACGGCCCTACGGCCTACTCTTATATCGAAATCCAACTGTCAAGGGATCTTTTACGTGCACGCCAATATGTACACGGGACCGCCGTCCTGCATCACTGACAAGGGGGAACCACGCCGGAAAATCTGGATGAACTTTCTCGGCCAATGCAGGGATCGAAACCCGACCTCCAGGCTAGCGAGTCAGCGTCTTACCCACATGTTTTAAGTAACACTACTTTATTATATGGTATGGTAAATAATGTTCAATAGTGGCACGGGTATAATCATATACTAGACACTTTCCCTGTCAGGCCCTACGTCCTGCACCACCGACACGGTAAACACTCGAGGGTAAATCTCAAGGAACTCTCTCGGCCAACATCGGGAGCAAACCCAAGACACCGCAACTCACCCATTTGAAAAGTCGATTTCTTAAACTAGTTCGCGCCCAAAAGTTACATTTCTTAACAGTGTAAAGCCCCCGCCAGACCGGGGCGGCCTCCTTACTGCGCTGCTGCGACCGTATGGCGACCACCCCGGTCTGACGGGGGTATAAGCGACGTTATCGTGATGCTGATAAATAAGGAATGTTTTAGATGCCACTTTAAGTAACTTACTTATGGCATTTCCGAATAAAGTTCCAGAACCATCACCGAAGCCATTATGAGACAATACTAACTTCTTTAATGTTTTGCTTTCCTGAAATAATGTCATCGTTATGATTAGAGATGGTGTTATGCGAAGAATTCATGAAAGGTGTTCGACTTATCTACTTTTATGAAACATTAGATAATCTTCTGCCTTCCGGGGCACTATAGCTTGAACGAGAGAGAGTATCAGCTTCCTTAATGTTTTCCTATTCTGAAATAGTATCATCGTGTACGATGAAAGGAGTAATACTTATCTATTTTTATAAAACATTAGAAAGTCTTATGTCTTCCGGGCGCACTATTGTGGTACTCTTAACCAGATAATGAACACAGAATTTGATTTAAATAAAATTATTGATCTCACTACCATTTCTTCCTCCAATTACGAAAGGGGGGTTGGATGGATGGCCGAATGGTTAGCACGTGCGCGCTGTACCATACGGTCTGTCATTGAGTCAACTGGCGGGGTTTCGATTCCCCGGTCATGACAAGGAGTAGGGTCGCCTGTCCAACCTCGTGGGTTTTCTCCGGATCCTCGGATTTCCTCCCACTGCTAAAGACCCCCAGGCGCAAGCGAATTATTGATATAAAATTGAACCATGTGTTAATCCCGAAATGACCTAGTTTGTGTCGAGTGGAGTTAATCCCCATTTCTCTCTCTCTCTCTCCAATTACGAAAAGAGTGATCTTGTCTGTCTCACAAATCCCTAATGAGTGGCATCATGAAAACATCCTCCAAACAAAATCAGGTCAACAAATAAACAACATATTACCTTTATGATATCTGCAAATGTTGTAGTATCTACATCAGTGAAACCATTACCTACAACAATAAATAAATGGGGTTAAACATCATTTTTTTCTGCTTCAACCGGGCTAATGAAGACGGACATACGAAATGCGACATTTTGCCCGGACAGTAATTGAATTCAAACTGTCAATGTTTTTTTTTATGTGCACGCCAAGCCGTCCAGCACCACTCACAGAGACCTCGGTGTTTTGCGCCATCAGAAAGACTAGTAGCTGTTCCCTGCCAGGTCCTCCATCCTGCACCACTGACAAGGACAAACTTGCTGGAAAATCTCGGTGTACTTTCTCGACCAACAGTGGATCGAATCTCGCACGTCCTGGCTAGAGAGCAAGCGCCTTACCCACTAAGCCACCGTGGTTCAATTTCCAACAAAAAGACATTGAAATATGGGTTCTATCAATACACGGGGGTTGGGTAGCCGAATGGTGTACCGCGTTAGGTCACACGGCCTGTCATTCAGTCAAGTGCCGCGGTATCGATTGATTCGTTTACAAGTGCGTGACAAGGAGTAGGGTCACCTTCTAAACTCTTGTGTTTTCTCCGGGTCCTACGCCCCCACCCCCAGATTAAAGACCCCTACGCGCAAGCAAATTATAAATTGAACCAAAAGTAACCCAGTTTGTGTCGAGTGGACGTTAAAGTTCATTTAAATGATCTGAATAAATTAAGGCCTCACCAGATAAATATAAAGTATCAATCAGTCGATTCTTGCGTAAAAGAGATTTAACTGAGAGTGCACCTCGATGACCCAGATTATTTCTAGATAAATTCTGAAACAGAGAATTTATAGACATCTCATATATTAAACACGTCAATGTGCCTGTAACAACATCTAAAATTGTGAAATGAAATAGGGTACGGCCTATCGAATTCCAACTGCCAACCGTTTATTTACGTGTACACCAATGTGAACACGGGATCTCGGTTTTTTCGTCCCATCCGAACAACTATATGCTGTCCCTTGCCTGGCCCTCCGTCCTGCACCAATGACAAGGGACAGCGATGCCGCAAAATCTCCACTCGGCCAACACCAGGATAGAACACGGGATCTCCAGGTTAGCGAGCCAACGTCTTAGTCATCGCTGCTCCCAACTAATATTATATATGGTACGAAATAGTTTTATCATTACATCACTCACCAACACTAAAGTTCCCCAATAATTTTACAATTAATGAGGGCATTGGTGATATCATTGGTGTCAGACTGGGTTATATACAGAGAAAAACCTTCAGATCTTCAAAAACATCAAACGATATTTGCAATTTACGAAATAAGCAGAGTAAATATTTCAGTGGAATGGAGATTAATTGGCACCCCACTATACCTTAACTTTATATATAAAGTACTGCTGATTAAAATAGGTCACACTGGATCTCGATTTAGAACATTTTCTGCACATAATACAAACTGGCACAATTTAACATATTGTTAAATTTGATCAAATTCAAACCGAAGTCTACCATGGTTAAATTAGATAAAAACTCAAACTGAAGTCTTACAATGTTTAAATTAGATTAAATTCAAAGTGAAGTCATACCATGGTTAAATTAGATACAAATTCAAACTGAAATCTTACCATGGTTAAATTTGATCAAATTCAAACTGAAGTCTTACCGTGGTTAAATTTGATCAATTTCAAACAGAAATCTTACCATAGTTAAATTTGATCAAATTCAAGTTGAAGTCTTACCAATTCTTTAATGGTTACACTTTCAGCCAACATTTCAGCCATTGCCACCATTCCTGTTGCATTTATATCATTACCCTCTAAATCCAAACAAACTATATTAGAATCAAGCTGTAAAAAATTGCCAACACTCATATAAACAATAATCTATGAAATGAAATGGGATTTAACGTCCTTCTGTTCTGCTACGACTGAGCTCATGTAGACGGGCATACGCCATAATAGTGTACTATCGGAGAGATTTTGCCCAACTGTCATGGGTTTATTTACGTGCAAGCCAATGTGAACCCGGGACCTCGTTTTTTGTCCAATCCGAACGACTATAAGTTGTGTTTCTTGCCAGGCCTTCCTCCGTCCCGCACCACTGACAAGGTGTGGGTGAGGGCACAATCTATGATTTCATTTTCGATTTCACTTATGACGAATCGAAGGCGTATTGAGAGATTCAGCAGAAAGTGACCCTTAACGTATCCAGTTCCATAAACTCAATATTATCTATTCAAATGAATAACCGGTTGGTGAAATATTTTACATTAAACATCTAAGTATATGTAGAAACAACAAGAATAACATATAATTAAAATATAGGTTGGTCTTTTAAGATTACTTGGCATTTAGATATCAAAGAAATGTCGTTGTTCTGCAATATGTCTTCCTCGCGTGCATTTCGCCAACAGGTCAACAATAAAATACATATTCAAAATTTAAAATGACATTTAAAAGTATTGTACGCAATTTATAACCGTTAAATGTTTTTCATTAAAATTTCCTTTTTTGCTTTATTGTTTACTGGGTTGAATTCCAGCTGTCAAGGGTACTTTTGCGTGCACACCAAAATGTACACGGAAATTAGGTTTTCCGTCCCATCTGAACATATAGACGCCGTAACTTGCAGGGGTCCTGTCGTGTAAATATTCTGGGAATATGTATCTAATTGTTTTATCTATTTTGTTGTACATTTCTCCTACATTGTTTATTGAATATTGTATACCATGAGAGGAATAGCTAATGCTTTAGCACCATCAGGTCCCATACTGTAGTGTTTTAATATGAGTTGCGGTTGGACGGGATTTCTCATATAGACGCCAATCGGTATAACCCCCAGTTTATCACACTCTCGTCTATACAATTTCTTCTGTATATCTACTGTATCAAGCTTCACTGGTAGATTGTCTGTTAAATAAAAATATACAAAGAATTTAATATATTTCTGCTTTATATTACACACTTACATAACAATAGCTTGCACGTTATTACACACGACAAACAGGGGATTAAGGATTATATGAGGCTAGACCAATCAGTGCGCGTTAGCCGTGAAGCGATAAAGCAGATAAAATTGCCTTAGATGTCGGGAAATTTTATTGTATGAAATCAAAATAACAATAAAAGGGGACTCTAAAGCCTGTCTAGAACAGAAATTCTTATTTATTATTAAAAAAAAAAAGGAAATAAATATAGTGATAGGAAACGATATCATTTCCACTTTGTTTCGGGCTATTTGTTTTCAATTATTTTACTAGAACAGCTAAAACCCACTGTCTCCCATCCCGACTTTCGAATTTGTTTCTTACATTTTTAAAAATGGCACCTGAAATCAAATGACCAGTTTAAATAAGATTTACGTTAGATACTTTATAGAAACTTTACCTAGTTTTTCATCTTCGACTGGGGCATGTAAAACGTCATCAAGTAATGTGTCTTCTCTGTCACCAAAAGATGTGATGTCTGACGTCATGGTGACACTTTCCAGATTATCGTCTTTGTCGTCTGGTTTTATTTTTCGCGCTACCGTTCGTCTTCCACTGCTGTTACTTCGTATGCCAGTGATTTGCTACGGATGAATAATTCAGTTTATATTAATTTTGAGAAAAATAGAAGTTATATTCTATACGTAGCCTACTTCGTACACGCCTGATTCAAACTATAATACTGATAATGCAGTTTGAAACGGACCGATACGAGAATAAACAAATGTAGCTCTGCTACAATCCACTTCGCAATGCAATTGGGTGTAGTTCAACGTTTCGTCAACTCTTTAAAAGGGCCCTTTTTGATAATAACACGCAATAAATGTTTGTATTTAATAAATTTGGCATAGGAAGTGAATTTTGCAACGGACCATGGGGTTTCCGCTTATTCTACCTTCTGCGGATTCTGACTTGGAATCGGGTTGGAAAATTCTATAGAAAATGAAATGAACAATTAATTTCTTTTAGATTTATATCCCTTAAGCAACAGTAACCAAATGCCCTATAGATTCCTTCTAAAATTTGTTTAAAAAGACACGGTATATTAAATGTGGTTTTTAACACGTCATTATTATGTAAAGTGTATAGGCTATATCTATTTATGAGAACATATATAATTCATTAATTTATGTGGAACAAGTCAAGGTAGGTTTTGTATTATTTCATAGGCATAAAAGTAACGTACGGCCATAGAATCAATAATAACAGCCCTTCACTGTCTAGTTGAAATTAAACCCAAATTATCTTGCCGCGCCTAAATTTTGCACACGAACAATTTTAATTCTACGCTTAGTAAAATGTATGTGTCCTAGCACAATAGTTTGGTTCCGGGCAATGGATCTCTCGATCTACTCCTCTCTGTCAATACCCCCCCCCCCCCTCCGTCAGCATTAGCATGGGTGGTCCAAAAATGTACGAAGTTCAACATCTCTTTGTTTCATCCCCCCGCCACCTTACCCCCCCCCCCAAAAAAAAAAACCAAAAAAAAAACAACACAGCCCTACCTCAAAACTTTACATTCTGTTATACACCAATACCCTCCCCCCCCCTCCGTCAGCATTAGCATGGGTGGTCCAAAAATGTACGAAGTTCAACATCTCTTTGTTTCATCCCCCCGCCACCTTACCCCCCCCCCCCAAAAAAAAAAAACCAAACAAAAAAACAACACAGCCCTACCTCAAAACTTTACATTCTGTTATACACCAATACAAACTTCTGTTGATCGATATATTCTACATACTAATAGATAATAATGACGCCCTAATTATATAAAATTTGATATCCTGTTCCACACGAGTTGGTATAAATTATAGTTTATTGTTTAATGTCTGATCTGATATAGGTATAATGTATATCATCTATTGTCAAATATAATATAGGAATATCAACTGGAATTCATTGTAGTGATTAATGACAAAGAGGTATATGGTCTTACCGAATAAGTCATGACCTCAAATCTTTTTGGCAAATCAACACAAATATCGCACAATTTTCTTCTAGACACCTTGTTTATTGCAAAAAAAGTTTTTTTTTTCTTAAAATACCAAATAAATCACGACATCGAATACTTTTAGAAATTAACATAAAATAAGCACAATTTTCTTCTAGACACTTTGTTTATTGCAAGAAAAAGAGTATACTTTTCTTAAATAAAAATAAATGGTTCAATAAAACTATAGGCACATTCACCAAAAAAACAATCAAAACAAAAGAATGAAAATACCATTAATTTTATATAAATCAAATTGAAGTTAACCAGAGCAAATACTTGGCAGGTTTGTGTTCAATTTTGCATCCATGATGTAACTGATTAGGAAAATGAAGTCATAGCCCGAATTAATTTTGAAACCAGAGAGGACTAACTATGATTTCTTCTATATTATGCGCTAAATAGCTAGGTAATTGAAATGGGTTTTTACTTCCTACTTTTCTGAACCAACCGGGATATATAACGAAGACGCACAGTATCCTATGAAGGAAATTTTGCGCGGACATCAGTGCTTCTGTCTACTCTTCTTCGAACTTATACGCGCACACCATCCTTCAACCTGCACCGCTGACAAAGGGAAACCACACTAAAAAAAATATCGAAGCACCAATGATGTCGAAACTCAGATAGAACCCCGAACCTTCTGTTTTCTGAGCCAGCACCTTATCCACTGAGTCACGGTGGCTCCTCAACTGGTCGAAATTGACCAATCTTTATATCAGATATTGATGATATTTTTTTTTCGTAATGCCCAGTAAGATGGTTAGTATATAGTTTCAAAATGGAATGCATAGCACGTAGAACAAAACATCACTTCCCGGGCAACTTTCGTTTCTATTTCAATTTCATGTTATTTATGTACACTATAGTATAGGCCTAACATAATCTTCAAATGACCCGTTTTGCCCATCTTTTAGCCAATGAAAGAATGCCTTTCGTTTGGCATTAATGGCTACAATTAATACAGAACATATTCGCAACAAAGAAGTAATTGGATTTTATGTAGCCATGAGGTATTTTTTGTTGTTTTTTTTTAACCACATCGGATTTTTCCGCCGTGGTTTCCCCCTTGTTAGTTCGGGTAAAAAACATTGGCGTGTACGTAAAAGAACCCTTGACGTTTGGAATTTGAATTAATCCAAAGTCCATGCACCTCACCCCAAAAGCTCGCCGTAACAGATCGTTTCATTGGCTAATCCCTCACATCAATGATAATAACTCTTTCAGACCCTAGTGTAGGAAAGACAAGTAAAACGAAATTTTGAACTATAAAAATCGAAACGAAATAGGATCTCTGCTTTAATCAGATTGGCAATGCATCAAAATAAAGATTGAATTATAATTATATAACAGGTCACAATTCTATGGAATTATATTACTGATCAAATCATTGCCATGGTGTCCATTAATTAAATTGTTTCAATTTTCAGGCAAAGTGGTCTGTATATTATAGAATTACCCCAAACACTGTATCCCTTTCATAATTATATTATTAGATTTCCGCTAATTAATTAGAGGACTAGCTCTGGTTGAGCTTTTGTTTTTTATATTGTCTCGTTATTATTTTATCATTTTTTGAAAAAGACCGAGAAGCCAAGCCGACAAGTCGCTCAGTAATAAGCAGTAATTGTGACCGGTGTATTCCTGTTCAAGTAGGTTACTAAATACCATTGAAACAATTTCATTATTCCCTGTCGTAATTATGATAAAGAAAATAACCAAACAAATGTTTACATTAAAGGCGTATGGCTCATTTCTTTGGATCCTTAAAATGAAAATAGGGCTAAAAGCACATAATTAATGTTATATGCATATATATAACATGATTAATTTTATATTCAGTTTTTAAAGTTTTATACCTAAACAGTCCAAATTGAACGAAATTAATGTTATATTAATATATATAAGATGATTTATATTCAATTTTTAAAGTTTTATACGTAAACAGTCCAAACTGAACGACATTCGTTTACGCCTGCTTAGTTCATTCCACTCATTTTTTATTATTATTTTGTCGTTTGTGAATCGGGGATTGCTAATTACTTCCGCGTTGTCTTGCAGGGTATGTTTTTCTTTGTTCATAGAATTAGAATACACGACTCACGTACTGATTATGAAATGTGCATCGTGTCTTAAAATGGACCAACACTGAATTCTAATTCGTGTTTTAAATTTGGAATATTTGAGTGAGAGATTTAGTCCCTTTAAAATGACAAACTGTTATGTTGACGAGAACTTACTGTTAAACCTAATGTCCACCCACTTCCCTGTTCTTTGTTTAAAGATGTGTTCCAAGAAAAGTATTTATCGTGTGGTTATTTCCTATAAAAGTTTGGCAATTTTGGTATATATGGAAAGTAGAGATATCCAATCTTACTAGAAAAATACTGGATTCCCCGAAAAACACCCACGGAGCGCATACAGGACAAAAATGTAAGGGTTCCCCTAATCGACAACCAGACGATTAGGGATGTCTGCTTGAGTGACGTCAAAGCTTGCACGAGAAGAATCCGTGAGCGCTTGATGTATGTGTTGATAAAATTGATGGTGAGCTTAAAGTTGCAATTGCAAATTTTCAAGTTATATTTTTAAAATGTATTAAAATAAAGCCTTAAAATAGATGGTATCCATAAACAGTCCTACCTTGTTAAAGAATAATCCTATTAATCCTATAATTCGCTATTGCCAGCTGAGAAATTGACAAAAATATCATTTTTAACTTCAAATTCCAACGTTGGAAAATGGCTGCCCCATGTTGTCAATAGCAAACAAAACAGGGGAGCTAATTGTGTTGTTATTTCCTGTGTCATAGATTTTTAAGGGTGGGAAATAATGCCCATGATCGTATAATAGTGATTTGATAACCTATTGAGCAAAAGACATAGAAATAATTATGTTTTGACTTTCTTAGAAAATTTGAAATTGTCGCTTTAAGCGTACAACAGTTTCTGGGATAAAAACCGCGGAAAAAGACGTGGACAGTGGATAATCCGTGAATTTAATTAGGTTTCGATATTTATGATAAATAATCAGCGATTAAAGACAACATCGTCTTGTATATGCAATGAATACTCCTCCGGCTCCACGTACCTGATGCTAGGTACTGTGACACGTGATACAAACATGACCTCGTTTAATAGATTTCTTATGGCAGGGTTTCCCTCACAAATTCAATGTTTTGAAAAAGATTTGAAGCAAAATTTGGATAGATTAATTAGTTTGAATATGTTTTTAGTCCAAATATATCATCAAATCACCCAGTTTGTTCGCGGGAAAGTAACTTTAAATATGTTAATATAAATTTGTAGAACTATTTACCCTTTCAAATAAAATCTGTTTCTGAGACTTCAATACTCCAGTAAAATAATAGCCTTCAATAGTTTTCGGTCTTTCCTGAGCTTCCATGATTTTTGTATATTTGATCAAGATGACAAAAAAGCTCAATAGTAAGAATATCTTCTGTCTGTGAAGAATTAAACCTATAAAAATGAATTATTTATATTAACAAATATGCTATTACATAAATATAATTTAAGAATAAAACCTTTTAGTTTTTCAATGGAATTAAGCATTCAGGTGTGAATAGGGACCTATATTTTGATCATTAAATGTTAGTAAATGAGGTATGACATTCGTGGGGGGTGAGTGCGTGCTTGCCACCCCAACTCCTGTTTTTACTTTTCTAAGTTGTACTATATGGTGCATTGTAAACAATGAATATTGTTTTCTGTATCCATAAGTGGGAGTCACGGTGGCTCGGTGAGTAAGACATTGGCTCGCTAACCTGAAGGTCCCGTGTTCAGTCCCTGCGTTGGTCGAGGCAGTTCATCGGGATTTTCCGACGTGATTAATCCCTGGTGGCTCAGGACCGAGGGCCTGGCACGGGACAACGTATATAGTCGTTCGGATGGGGCGAGACACAGAGGTCCCGTGTACACATTGGCGGGCACGTTAAAGATCCCTTGGCAGTTGGAATTCCATATAAGGGTAGACCGTAGCTCCGCTGCCCGGGCAAAAGTTTCCTGGCAGCACACTGCATGGTGTATGCCCACCTTCTTTATTAGCCCACCAGGATCAGAACAGTAGAACGCTTAACCCCATTTCATTTCATTTTGTATCCACATCTGCTTTTGGAATTTAAACATAATAGCAGTATAGTGATTTACGAGCTGTATATGTCCACATATTTGTGGGTTGGGTGCGGGATTGCCAACCTACTTCCGGGTTTACCTTGCCAAAACTGAGATCCCACTCTTCTTCTGTATCTACACTTGCTTTTATTATATGAATTTAGACACAGCAGCGGCATATATTGGCATACGAGCTCTACATGTCTACAAAATATCCATATATGAACGGTTTAACGGGATGGCAGAGTTGGACAATTTTTGAAATATATTTCTGTTTAATCTAAATATTATATCCCTGCGAATAGCGATTACTGAATAGATTAATATTTGAAAATGCCCGTTTTAAACCGAATGTGAGCCACATGATTTTGGAAAACAAGCATTGACATACCAGAAAACAAACCAGTGCCGGCATAACAAAGAAACAAAACTATTAGTAAGAATATTCCCCACCAAAATATCACGTTAACCTAAAATAAACTCACCTTATGCCGCATGCCTTAAGATTACTTAAGAATTATATTCAATAATATTATAGAGTTACATGTTTGCCTATCATTCTCGGATGTTTTATCAACAAATTGGGCCCTCGACATCAAAAAGTCAATATTTTGTAAAGTTAACTGGGTCAAATTTTCAAGTGTGTGTAAATATGATTTATAAAGAGCCTATATATTTATCTTTGTAAGGCAGTGTATATTCGTTGACTACCACGCTGTTCCATATTAAATATGTAAATATAAGTTATGATTTAGATAAACAATGAATATTGACATAGTTAATGAGGACACTCTCAAGACTCTGTATAACATGCAAGTTAATATTAAAATCATAGTATGGTTTATATTTCAAATGAATGAATGGATGGAATGGGGCTTAAATGTCCTACTGTTCATGGACCAACCGGGATAATGGAGACGGTCATATGGCACAGAGTACGTCATGATGAAAATTTTGTCCGGACAACAATTGGTATCAAATGAAATGGGGTTTAACGTAAAAGTTGTCTGCCACGACTGGGATAATGAAGACTGGTTACACCATGTAATGTGCCATGAGGGGCATTTTGCCAGGACAGCGGCAGTACGGCGTACTCTTTATTTCGAATTTCAACTGTCAAGTTTTGTTTGCCCATAGACCTGAGCTGCAACCCGGTATACAAATCAGCACATAACTTTAAAGGGTCACCATTTCTGCATTAATTATCATTTATTGTCTTTATGATTCGGTATTATAATAATGTTGCAAAAGTAAATGTGAAGAAAAGAATCTTTTTGATATATGAACTTATAATAGATAGAAATTCTTTCTCTCTCCCGATTGGTTACGGCGATTATTTACATGTTTTCAGTATGCTACTTCAAGTTTGTGTATCTTAAATTTTGTCGTTCGATCTCATACAAATTTTGGTGCTACGACATGATCATTTGTTTTTCTGTCTGTAGTGAAAACCATTTAGCCCAACGAAAATTTGGTGAAAAGTTGGAGCCGGGCATTGAAGTCAATGGGGGAAATTAATGGTGGTCTGCTCCCTACTGCCAAACAGGGGAAATAACCCCATTTTTATAACAACATAATGGTTCGATATTTAACAAATTAATTTTTATTAATGGATATGTAGGTTCTAATCATGATATTAATAATCTTGCATCATTGAGAAAAGTTAATTAAATAAGCAACTCCACACTATATTTATTAAACACAATTTAAATCTATGAATAACCCACTAACAATTAATGTTGATTAAACCAAAACGACGACATAAAGCCCTTGGGTCGAAAACTCATCGGTTTAATCGCTATATAGTTAAGAATATGAATTAATCTTTGATCCCAGCTACGTGGAGTAGTATTCAGTTTGCAATTAAATAAGTCGATATCGTTGCGGAATTACTGCTATTTTCTATTATGAAAATTAATTTAAACTGTAAATAGATCTTTTATAATATGCACAAAGTGTCCTTTTTTTCGATGAGTTTTGGAATTATTAGGTAGGGGGGCCCCAAGGGGCATCGGCCAGAAAAGAAATTGATATCAACCATTCCATGTTGGGTTGGTTGGCAGCGGGAAGTTGATATCAGAGATGCTATTTCAGCTTGACAGGTAGCGGTCTAATTAGTTGTCTGATATTTCCGTCGCCCCCCGTTTCTCAACCCAGCAGCTCGTTTGACAACAAGAATCGCGAACCAGTGTCATCGGTCAATGAAAGTGGCATAACCGTTAGAAAAGAAAAATTTTGAATCAATTCTCCGAGTACATTCCCGAACAAGCAAATTCCGCACTATTCGGAAATGTGATCTGCAATCGACACTTAACTGCTTAGAACTAAGTATATGACTTCCTGTCCGGGAGGATATACTCCACAGATCATCATTTCAGGGAGGAACCAACCGGACCCCCGCTAGGATGTCATCTTATCACTGGGTTCCGAAACTGAAATTCCTACTGCGAAATACTATGTTACTTCCCGATCAGAGCTACCCCTATACTTCAAATTTCAGACTCGGGACAGCCCTAGTGTAGCCGTCAACCTTGAACAAACAGACCAACAACAGTCACAAATATTAGTATAGATTGCATTATAATGTATTATGATAGCTGAAATATGTGCAGGAAAGATACATGGATGTCCGGAACAATTTATGGTCGCGGAATTATTTGCTTGATTTGGGTGATACAGGGAGGCAAATGGAACAGCCATACATCGGTAATCACATTTGAAGTACAATTCCCACGATATATCTCACTATTTTTGTGCTCACTTTGCACCATTATGTTGTAATATTGGGTAGTATGTAGTGATATTGGAGTGGTAGTTGGGTGGTATTAGTTGCACGGCGGGACGATTTACCCAATACTACCCGACTACCAGTCAAATATTACCACATACCACCCAATATTACAACATAATGGTGCAAAATGAGCATATTAATTGATTTTTTTTCAAAAATAGTGAGATATATCGTGGGAAATGTACTTCAAATGTGATTACCGATGTCTGGCTGTTCCAATTGCCTTCCTATATCACCCAAATCAAGCAAATAATAACCCAATACTACCAAATACTTATCAAATACTGCCCAATATTATAAAATACAAACCTAATATAGTCAATTAGCAGTGCATCAGTATAATAATTGCAACAAACATTCGATAATTTACAGAAAATTGAAATATTTACGCAGTTATCTCCCTTTACAACTGACAACTAGATTTTAGATTGCTACTCAACTTAATCATCTTGTTGGGCTTTGCAGTTTGTTTCCAAGACGACGAAGTTATAAAAAGGAAAACAGGTAATTATAGATGCCTCCGCTATAGTGTCTTCATACAATAATACACGTTAAAAGCATATCAATATATAACATAACATAAAATAAAGATTTCTTAAAGAAGTTAAGAAAGATTGAAAAATGCATTAAAATAAATTCAGTTTATAAAATAAACTGCCAAACATCCAAATAAAAGAGTATTTTAGAGGTTTATTTAAAAATGTTCATTTAACGGTCTCGTGACCTATTCAAAAATCTTCTTATACTATAACTGTTTCTTCATCCTGGTGATTTTAGTATGATAACACGCTGACTACATGTGCACGCGGTCCTGTAAAAAATCATTTGGGTATAATATGTCAGGAAAGCACACGAATTTATCTTTATATCTGTCTTTTAATGACTTATTAACGCGTCTTCTATGTTTTTTAAATGATTCCGGTTCCAAACCAGGCGCCTTTGAAAAAACCCTCTTGTCAAAATTTTACCGATTCTTCGAATATTGTCACTACTGAACAAATTCTAAGTATTCTACGGTAAATAATCCACAGGTGACGATGTCGCGGCGATGTCATTACCACCTAAATGAATAGACACGGTCACCGGTTTCCTCCCACAGTGTTTAACGCTCTACTCGGACGTTAAGGCCTGCAAACCAACAACCGAATTGTTTGAAGCTTCAAACTAATTTTAATTGTCTGCTATTATATGCTACATTTACTCGAAATATTCTAATTTCGTACCACCGAGTAGCCAATAAATAAAATGTCAAAAGTCACAATATACATCTTTATTATATAAAAACGTATAAAGCATATATATATTATGAAGATCGTGTGTTTCAACCAATCATTGAGAAATCATATAGCTATACTATCATAATTATATAACCCGCATTATGTGCTCACTATTCAACCTTTATAAAGTACATGTAGTTTAATACTAATTAGTTAAATGTGGTCTGAAGCCTTCTTAAAACCATTATGATGTATTGAGTTGCTTTCCTTGTTAATACAAGCCTTAGTCCTAG